CCTGAGATACGGTACCCCAGACTGGGCAAAGGGGGGAAGGAAGGACTATGTGTGTTTGTGGGTGTTTTAAGGGACTCTGGGATTTTGATGAAGACATTAAATCATTACTCTCAAGTCTGTACACCTTGAAGAAATAATTCCTTTCCTTTTCACCAATCTCTAACATGGAGAGCTATAATTCTCTGGTGAAGGGAAAGGTGAACCTAGTACAGGAGGACCCCAGGAGAAAAGGGGGTCAATTCAGTAACATTGTGGGACCCTCTTCCCTAGCGGCCAATCAGAAAATCATGGGAGATCACATGTGCAGTAGCTTTAAAGTAATACAACTACTTATACATGCACAGTAAAATCCTGCCAAAACTAGCCAGGAAGAATCTGCCCTATAAGGATAGAGTCCCTCCAGCCCATGAGGTCAATCTCTGCTTGGAGTTGGCCTGCTCCCCCGTTCTCTGCTATAAACTCTGGGTATTCAGTTCAAATCTTTGTCCTGATCACCAAGAACCTGGTTACCTGTGCCCACCTGTGACAGATGGGTTTTTTGGGATCTTTACTTTTCAGTCTTACACAATGGGAGTCATAATATCTGCTTATGCTCAGTGGTTCCACAGGGAGAACACTTTTTGGCTTTCCTTGCGGGAAAGGTCCCACTAAGAGGAGAGATGTAGGTGATCTGTTTAGAGGAACCATATCCATCTCAACTGATAGCAGAGGCTACTTGGCCAAGGTTGTGGGCTAGATGCATTCACATTCAGGAACATTAACTCTAAGTGCAATTTTCTGGTGTTCCACTCCTTCCTTAAATCTGATAGAGCTGCTAAAAAAATGGAGAAAGAGCAGATTACTCTCTGCCTTACCATAATGGGGTATAGAGCTGGGGTGAGAGAATATTCCCCACAAACCATGGTTTGGGGGATGGAGGAATGGGAAGACTGAGATTGAGAGGTACTTTGCATACCTATGGCAACTTGGCTAGTTTAATAGTTATGTTAATTGCTGTACTGCTGCTGGGTGTGACTTTGACTCATGTGGGCGGGGGAGCTCACAGCACCTGTGCAAGAAACAGGGAGGTGGTTTCTCTACAGCAGGGAGACACACCTGCCCTGACAAATGATGGCACCTGACAGAATGTAACCTGTACAGAGGACTGGCAGAATGTAGCCCATTGTGAGAGGAGTCAGAAGAGGGGTCATGTAGGCTCTGGGTCAGGATTTAAATGAAGGGCAGAGGGACATGAGAGATTTGGCCATGCAACTTGGAAGGGAGTAGGAGAGCCAAGAGGAATGAATGAGGTAACAGCCACATTAAAGAGAAGTAAGCAAGTAACTATGTAGTTTGTAGTCAGGATCTGGCCATGTAGCCTAGTGTAATAAGGAAGAAGACATGTTGCTGTGTTCATCGTTCCTGCTCTAGCTGACTCTGGATCCACCAAGGACTCCCTTGCAATACACTGACCTGCTGCCTTGCAAACCCAGACTCTATCTGGACTTTCAGGACTTATGTCTTTCCTGAACTATTATTACACAGAGGCTGATGACAATGTACCCCAGATCCTGAAAAAGAGAGCTGGTGAGTGAGGATGGCGACTTAGTGCCTTCCAGAGAAACTGGAGAACTGTTTGTACTGCTGGCTTAAGGTAAGAATATGGGAAATTATTAGGTTTGCTTTTGGCTTATAGACTTTTGGGAAGCATGGGAAGTGCTGGGTCCCTTGGGAAAGGAGGGCTCTGAGCTAAAGTGCTTCGAGCCCTCCTCCAAGGTTGGAATATTGTAAATAAAGACCTGTTCCTTCCAACATAAATTGTTGAGTCATGCACCAAGGTGCCACGTGGACAGGCTCCAGTCTGCTTGGTTACATGACCTCTAAATCTTTCAAGAAAACAGTAACAGGGTGATCGAGAGATGAAATAAGATAGCATTGAATCCACTTCCATCCCTTAGCAGTTTACTTCCACAGGTAGGAAATAACCTGAGCTCCAAGCACTACTCCACAAACCTGAGCCAATAAGAAATGTGTTTTCAATTTGTTTGATTTACACCATTCTTGGGTATTATCCCCTATAGCTCTGAGACTAAGGTAGGAGTTCTGATTCTACACTTAACTATGTGAAGTCAAGTAAGTCACACACCATGGGAAAATACAGAATGAAGGGCAAAGGTATGTACCTATGCCAGAAGCCTGTGACTGTGGATCCCAGCTAACAGGGGAACACTGAATTTAATGTGCCAGACCTATTATGACAGAGACAATAGAGTAAGTCCTCATTTAATGTCATTGATAGGTTTGGCAACTATAAGCAAAATGATGTATAATGAAACCAATTTTACCATAGATTAATTGATATAAATAGGAATTAGGTTCCTAGGGCATCTTGTAAGGAAAATGATGTTACTTGAGAACTTGCTATAAGGCCTGCCCTCTTTCAGCCTGGCATTCTCCACTTCAGAAGGTTGAATGGTCAACCTATAAAGTGCTATCTGCTCTTTGGAACAAAGAAGCTAGGCCATATAAGCCACCTGGGGACCCTATTAACATCCAGATTTTGAAGCAGTACATCTGAGATAGGGCCTGAAATTCTACATTTTTTATATCATTTTTTATTGTTGTTCGGATACAGTTATCTCCATTTTCCCACCACCACTTACCCCCGCCCCACCCACCCCCACCTCCCACCCTCAATTCCAGCCCTCTTTGGCTTTGTCCATGGGTCCTTTATACACGTTCTTTAATGACCCTTTCCCTTCTTTCCCATGTTATTTCACTGCCTCCTCCCCTCTGGTTACTGTCAGTTTGTTCTTTATTTCAATGTCTCTATTGATATTTGCTTGCTTGTTTGTTTTGTTGATTAGGTTCCACTTATACGTGAGATCATAGGGTATTTGTCTTTCACCATCTGGCTTATTTCAGTTAGCATAATGCTCTCCAGATCTATCCACGCTATCACGAAGGGTAGGAGCTCCTGGAACTGCCTTTCAACCCAGCAATTCCACCACTGGGAATATACCCTAAGAATCCTGAAACACTAATTCAAAAGAACCTATGCATCCCAATGTTCAAAGCATCACAATTTACAATATCCAGGTGCTGGAAGTAACCCAGGTGCCCATCGGTAAATAAGTGAATCCAAAAACTGGTACATTTACAAAATGGAATACTATGCAGCAGAAAGAATGAAATTCTATATTTCTAACAAGTGGCACTCTTCTGATGCTGATCTTGGACCACAGTTACACATGAAGTAACTTTGAATTTTGAGCAACTAGGACACTGATTTTCCAAGAGTGGTCTGAGAGCCCATGCAATCAGCATTCCCTGGTGTTACTCTAGGCCCTCTCAATGAGACCTTCTGGAGGTGGGGTCTGGCAAGACTCATTTTTTAGCCATTCCTTTAGGTGATTGGTATGGCCATTAAGTTTCAGAATCAGTATACAAAATCAGTGGCTCTGAATTGCAGTTCCATGTTAGAATGGAGCTTTTAAATCACTGCACCCAGGATGGATCAAGGTCAAGGACTGAGACCTATGATCTGAGGGAAGGCAACAGGGCATAAGTGTTTTTTGTTGTTGTTTTTTTGTTCATCAGTTTACTTGGGTTTTTTGTTGTTGTTTTTTTTATAGTACCCCTATGTAAGCCTGGAATATACTGAGGGTTCAAAATTACTGTTTTAGATTAATGATTTTTCTTTTAATTTATATTGATGTATAATATACATCTAGAAAAGTATGACAATCATAAGGATATACATGAGTGTTTGTGGGGAAGGCATGACTAAATCCTCAGAGACAGTGTGAGTATAGCTGTGGCTGTAGGATCTATAGCTTTAAGCTCCACTGTGTGTGTGTAACTCCCTAAATGTCAGTTTCTTTCTCTGTGAATAAAGACCATAAAAACTTGCCCTAGCTACCTTACATGACTGTTATATGAAAAGACCTTATAAACTATGTTATCCAAAGAATAAAAATGATCATTTTGAAATTTAAACTATGATCTTAATGCATGAAGCAAACTTAAGTCATGAAAATAGAAAGTAGAAGGAAGGATTTACTAGTGATTTCTTTACCTAAGCTTTCTAACATGGCCTGCTAATCCCTTAAACTCCTACATATGGAAATTTGGAGACAGGGTCTTGTCACCTAGCCCTGTAGCTCCTGTTTCTCTCTGTTTGTTTATCACCCAGCCTCTTGCCACAGTGGGATTCTACCTGCTATCCACAGGGGATGTGTGTGGCCCAGACATCCTTCTGGGTTTGGATGAATGGGGAAGGAATCTAATTCTTACCAAAGGGAGTTCCTTGCTCTGCAGATTATTTTCATCCAATGTGACTGAGTCCACCCCACAGACCCTTAGAAACACTGGAAGCCTCTATCTAATGGATGGGCCTCCCAGCCCCCATTTTCTCCACTAAACCTCTCCAAGACCTTCCATAGGCTTTTTGGCCTGTCCTGGTTCTGGCCTAAACCACTATTGCAGCCTCAAAGTTCCACAAAATACTCCTATTCCCATCATGCTCCACTGTATTCAAATACGGCTACATGAAACCTCAAAATTAAATACAGCTGGCCCTTGAACAGCATGGGGGGTTAGGAACATTGACCCTCCATGAAATCAAAATCCATGTGTAACTTTGATTCCCCAAAAATGTAACTGTTAATAACTTACTATTGACCAGAAGCCTTACCAATAACAGTTGATTGACACATACTTTGTATGTTTTATGGATTATATGCTGTATTCTTATATAAGCTACAGAAAAGAAAATGTTATTAACAAAATCATAAGGAAAAGAAACTACACTTACAGTCCTATATGTATTTATTTTTAAAGATCTACATATAACTGTACCTGTGCAGTTCAAATCCATGTTGTTCAAGGGTAAAGTGTGTATGTGTATTTTAACATTCACATACACATGGGCTAAGTATGAGGACTAGCAATGGATAATGAAATAGTGAGAAAATGCTGTTTTGTATGTTGGTGGTATGTTCCTAGAAGAGGCTACTTACCAGTCGGGTATTTACCACAGGAAACAGTAAGGCTAGAAGAGCTCCATTCAACATATGCATCTGTATCCTGGAGGGGAAGAAAGATAAAGTCTAGGTCATACTCAGACTCTGATGGATGGGCATACAAAAATGTGTCAGGTTATGCCATGCCATATCAGAAAAATATATACAAGTGGCTCTCTGTAAAACAATGCTGGATAATAAATAAAAAGCTGAATATTTTGTGTTAACTGAAACATTCTGAAGAGTATCATCACCACTTCAAAATCTCCCAAACATGTCTGGAACACACAACACTTCATTACATAATGGGCTCTGAGCTCCCTAAACATCCAGTCAGTCCCAGTCAATGGCTTCAACTGCTGCACCCATGGTGGCATTAGAAAAGGGTAACTGCAGTGGCCAACTGCTCTGTTATTAGAGTAGAGACCTATTTCTTATAACAAGGCTGCTTATTCACAGGGCCACCTCTAATACTTTTCCCCCAAAGGCAACCTAGTCATAAAAAGGCTAGTACAACCCAGAGAACCAACTGCAATGTTTTCCAAATCATTCCCCCACCTTCTTAGAAATGCCTTCAGGGGCTGCTATTGGAGGTGGATGGGGTAGAAGTGGCGGTCTTCCAGGCTTCCTTTGATCTCTTTTACATATTGGGCTCTGTGACTTTAAAGGAAGAGGTGGTGGGAAGAAAAGTGGTTGCCCCAGCATCCTGTAGTGATATTGTTTCCCAACACCACACTGGTTAAAACACATACTAGAAACCCCTTATAAGTTGAGAACAAGTCAGAAACAAACTTCACTTGTGAGGGCTCTTAGCATGGATTTAAGCAGCTTTCTTTTTTTATATATTGCAGATATTTTTTTATTTATTCAAATTCATTTTTTATCAGGAGTGAGTGAAATAAAAAATATATTGAGTCTCATCATCATCATGGAAAGGGCTTTAACAGAAACCTGATCAGACGAATATTATTGCTTGCCATTTTCAACCAGTGAATAGTTGCCACTGATAGACAGCCAACAGTCTGTCAAGAATGTTCAAGGTATGTTACCTAATACAACAAGCCTATTCATAGGGGTGGGGGAGGGAAGACTAGGAAATAACTTATGTGAACTTCTTGATTTCATCATACAAAACAAGCACGAAAGCATCACTCCTGCCTCTGAGAACATTGCACCGTGCACCCCTGGAAAAAGCTTCGCAGCCTTCATCACAAGCAATCTTAGTCCAGCAGTTGGGTGTGCCTGTGGAAATTATATTAATTCCTTTGCACCCTGACTGCATCACCATGCAGTGACATTTAGTGTCAAATGGATAGGAAGTCAACCCAGCCACTGTTGTGATGGACTGTGCAGACATCCAGCTGATGAAGATTTATTCTTTGGATCTGGAAGCATTCCCTTTGCAGTGTCATAGATAGAGAAGTAGGCAGCTCAGTAGATGATTATACCCTGAACAGACACATTAAAGCCTTGGTACAGGCCCTTGATCCCATCAGATTTGTAGAACTTAATCAGGCAGTCACTGAGGCCTTTGAATTCCCTTTCAGCTTCAGCTCTGCCCACATCAGCTGCTAGATGGGTACAGGCAAAATCAAGAGGATACATGACATACAATGAGGTGGCCCCAGCAGCACCAATGCCCAATTTCCTTCAAAGTAGCACCAAAACTGTGTTCTTCTGCCCACAGCACCTAGGAAGATCTTGTATTTATATTTGAAGGCAAAGTTGAGAGCCTGGGTGGGGAAGTAGCTGATGACATTGGCCAGGTTACTGCACCAGAAGGACAGGACTCCCTGCTCCTTGGAGATACACCATGTAGTCTATAATGCCCTACTGTTGCTTATCTGTGGTGATTTGTTTGCTGGCATGCTGCACCTGCAGCAGCAGCCTGACGCACTCAATGGGCACTACAGCTATCTTTGAGATGGCCACAGCCACTCACCTGCCAGGAAGGCCTTGGCAAAGGACACAGCATTTTTCATGTAGAAAGGAAAGAAGTGCGTGACTGTGGAACTGGGCTCATAATCAGTTGGGACTCTGGGGCAATAGCAAGCATCTTTCTTTATGATTAAAGACAAATAGCCCCTTACTACTAAGAGAGAAGCAAAGAATGACAGGCTTTATGTCCTGAAGAATAGCTGACTTGATGGGTCATGAACAATCACTGCTAAGCCAAAATGCCTCCTAAACCTCAAGTAAATCCCTCTTGCTCTAGCTCTCTCCCTCTCTTGATCTCTTATATGCACACTAACACAGCAACCCTGAGATACCAAGATTTCTCCTATACCAGGGATAGGAATTCACTTCATACCCTGAAGACCCCTAGGACCTGAGCTCTTCTCTTGGAGCTCACAGATATGTGCCTAAGATTAAGAGAATTTACAAGGAGACCAAGGGAACATCACATTATCCCAAAGGCTGCTTTTCATTCTTGCCAGTGTATTTCTTACCAATGTTCTTGTCATCAATGCTATGAGAATGGTGTATCTTAATGGCTTTACATAAACACTATCACTTAATTTTTATAGCAATCTTATCAGACAGGTACCTTTCCCATTTTGTTGATGATAAAACCAGGTTTAAAGAAGCAAAGTGACCTGATCAACAGCACACTTAAGAGACAAAATTCAAATGCAGGTTTATCTGACTCCAGCCCCAAAGCTCTTACATCCCCCTTGGGGCCTTCTATCAGAGCCTCCCTGCCATGGCCATTTGCAAAAATGACCTCAGGCAGAGTTGGGGACATTGTTTTTTCCTTCTTTTTGCCTTTAGGGTTCTCTCTATCACCTCCATCATCCACTCTCAGAGACTTTTAATATGCTTTCAGGGAATGTCCAGAGGAGAATGCTCATAAGTCATGGCAGGCCATAACAAACTGACAGTTTTAACAGCACTTTGCTTGGTCCATCAAAGGGAGGAGGTACACCAATTCAATGCCACTCCTACCTCTCCAGGCTACCAATTCTTTTACAACAGTGTCACTCCTGGGGATTCTCCTTGCTCTAAGAAACTGACTGCTGAAAACTCAGGCTTAAGTCTCAGTACCTAGAGAAGGAGTCATTAACAGCAATTCCAGGACTCAGGTAAAGTACAGTCTAGCCTGTCTTCTCCTCCTATGTGACAGCCACAGCATAAACCTCTGCATAATTCTATCAACATAAGAGACTGTGGTGCCAGCTTTGTCATTTGCCTTAAATGTTGGCATTTACACAAGTCCAATTAGAAACTGGGGCATCAAAAGTTAAATATTGAGGATGGTAGAATCGATGCCAAGAGCTGTGGAATGCCAAAGATAAAGAAGATAAAACCAACATCAAGATTCAAAATGACTGCCCTGGCTGGTGTGGCTCAGTGGATTGAGTGCTGGCCTGCAAACCAAAGGGTCACCAGTTTGATTCCCAACTGGGATGCAGGCCTGGTCCCCAGTGGGGGAATGTGGGAGGTGGCCACACATTAATGTTTCTTTCCCTCTCTTTCTCCCTCCCCTTCTCTCTATCTAAAAATAAATAAATAATATCTTTTTTTAAAAAGGTCTTGCATATCAATAATTACAAAAATATCTAACATGTGCTGAGCATTTTGATGAGCCAATCATGGGGCTAAGTATTCAAATGCATCATCTTATTTAACCTTCACAGATTTTAGCATAATCATCTACAACTGCATAGCTGAGAAAGCCAAAGCACTAAGTGATTAAGTGACTTGCCCAAGATCACACAGATAACAGCAGAGAGAGAAGTCATACTCAGGTCTCCCCAAGTTTCAAGCCTATTTTCTTGCCACTGTACCCTGCTTCAAATTTGACATGAACATTACATATGTTCCGAGTATGTGTCAGTGTGTCAGACTGCATGCCAGGTAGGAAAAAATTCTGGGATGCCAGTGAGGCAGGAAAGGCCATGCCCAAAGGCACTAGAACACCTTGTGTCTTTTCTGGCAAAAGTGTCACAATTTTTACACACTGCAACTGCCCTCTACAGACCCAGTGCACAGCCCAACAGGTAAGCAACTGACCACTCTATACCCACCTCCATCCTGATACCCAGATTTCTACTGGATACATGAAATGGATAATGGGCCAGTAGAAGGTCCTGTGAGAGTTCCCTCATCTGTACAATGGAAACAATAACAGTACTGACTCATACGATTATTATAAGGAGTCAATAAGTGTAAGTGCTTAGAAAAGTACACAGTACATTGTAAGACAAATGATACATAGTAAGACAGAGTCATTTACTAGCCTAGTGACTGAACAAGTTACTTAAAACATGTGTGTCAGTTTCCTTAATCTTAAAATGAGACTAATTACAGTATCTAGCTGAAATGGTTGTGGGAGAATTTAATGAGATATGATCACATAAAGTGATCAACGTAATGCCTAGAACATAGTATACACTCAATGCATGATAGTCATTACTGTCCTTAATAAAGCAATGTAAATGAATATCAAATTTATTATTCATAACAAGTAAAGCTATCAAAACCTTCATGAGATTATTTACATTTCAATTTAGCACTTGATTACAACCAAGAACCAAAAGATATGGGACAGATGACAAATTCTATGAGTGGCTACAAAGACAAATCCATAAAGAAGAATTCTTAAAGGAAATTATACCATTTTATGAGCTAGACAAAAATAAAAACACAACATATCAAAAAGTATGAGATTGTTTAAAAAAAGAATGGTCTCAAATCAGTAATCCAAAATTCCACCTTAGGAATCCAGGAAAAAATGAAAAAAAGAAGGAATACATAAAATAATAAAGGGCGGAAGTCAATGAAATTAAGAACAAAAACAGCAGGGAATATCAATGAAGCCAAAAGTATGTCTTTTTTAAAAAATCAATACAGTTGATAAAACTCTAGGCAGAATGACAAGGATTAAAAAAAGAGAAGGAAAAAATCTACCAATATCTGAAGGGAAAGAAGGGATATCACTACAGACCCCCAGCAATTATACGGATACTAAGGGAGATATTATGAATATTTCTATGCACATAAATTTGAGAACTTAGATGAAATAGAGAATTTCCTCTAAACCTATAAATTACCCAAATTCAT